GCGCCACGTACGCGGAGATATTCATCTCGCTGTCGAATATAACGAGTTATCCTGCGCGTAACGCGTCCACATAACATCTAAGTGTCCACTTTGGCATAATGAATTCCCGTTCGAATGGTCACCGATAAAATCGCACCGCGACTTTCGTGAATTTTATATCGAGAAACGCGTATACGATTCGCCGGTTGAACATACCTACGCCCGGCTACGTAAAAAGAGGGAGAAGACCGTGGAGAAATGTTTGAGTTGAAACACGTCACACCTCTGTTTCCATTTAGCCGCCCCTGTCCTCGAAAGGCGCAAGCTTTAAACGTGAAATTAGGCGTGCCGCGGGCTCGCTGATACGCCGCTTTAAATTCGTTCACGTTTCGTAGACGGTATTATCACGAGACTCTCGGCTGGCTAAATTTAAATATTCCGAGATTACTCGACGAGTCGTTGAACAATGTATAAATAATACGATACAAGCGGAAGAAGAGATTGAAACAGAAAGAAGAGAATAGAAATAAAAAGTGCGTTAGCACTTACCGTTGTCATGCTGCGTTGATAAAGAGAAAGATAGAGAGAGTTATCGAAGAAATAAGAAATGCTGCCGGGTGTGTGTAGACGTGGACGATATCTCTTTAGTTTTCTCCCTGGTCACTTGGTCGTAGAGAAGAAAAGGATGTTGGATCTCCGGACGAGAAGAGCGTGAAATCCTTCTGGACGACGACTGGATACACCACCACGAGGTGATCACGAGGCACAAGTCTCAGTGACGAAGTGCTAGGTTGTCTCTTGATCGTGTAGGAAGAAAGAGGGGGTGTGTTGGTACCACGGGAGAGCTTGGACTTTGGAGGTCAGAGGGCGAGTGATTGGTGGAGCTTGCGCGGGCTACATTTATACTGCAACCACTCACCCCTCTTCCACGATTTTCTTCCGTACCACCAAGAGATCCTCGCTGTATCCACCACCATTGGTACCAGCACCACCAACTTGTTCCTCCTCCACGTTGTTACGGCCGCCCCGTATGTGTTGTACACCCTCTGTTTCATTACGTCATTGGATCTAGTCTCCACCCCGACCGATGATATCACAGAAGACGACCCCTCGGCGAGAAACTCTGGCGACCGGCGGTGCCACGCAAAACTGTTTTTCGGACGGGAGAGACTTCTTACGTAGATTCATGAATGAACCTTTGTGAATGGAGCTCCAAGTGGAAGGGGGAGGAGACATTGTCTACGGATTCGATATAAGATGATGTAACTTCGCCGTGTGTACGTTACTCGCGAGATATATTTCGATTAACGTATTACACGTAGTTGTATGTTTCTTTTTTTTTCCCTTTTTTCTTCAACGTTTACCTCGAAGAGTGTTTCTTCCGTCGTGACGATTCTCGCGGATTTTCATACAGTTTGTGATTAAGCACGGAAGTTGGAAGTTTGTGAATACGCTGGGTGATGTATGAAGGTTATTATCTTGATACAATGCGCGTTGCAACTCTGGAGAAATGTTCATCGTTGCCGTGTTAAATGATTTCAATTTCAAGTTACACCCTTGTAACATTCATCTTCGACGAGATCCCTTTTCTTCCAATTATTGTTGCTACGTTGCTTGCCTGTGAATTATTTCAAGATGAAACGTCGAACAGATTAACCTCGCAACATTTGTATATAGATGTTTTTTTTTTATTTTAGACGGTCAAACCTACACCAGCCATTGTACCTCGGTATATTAAAATCTTCCTAGACTTATTTCAGCGAACGGGGAATCTCTTCCTCGTTCTTTTCTTACGTCTTCGTAGCTATTGTTCACGATTCTCACGCATCGTAGTGTAGAGAATACTCTGGAATGTAATCGATCAAGCTAATCGGTTGGTGTTTCGTTCGAATGGTAGTGTTGGAAAATGAGGAAAACCGATCGACCATGATACCGTACGTAAATTTTGACAAGCCGGCTTCTAATGAAACAGCGTGACTTGATATCGATTTCAAAAGATCTTGAAAAATTCCCAACGACGATGGCTAACGAACGTAAGAATTACAGAAGCGAGTTTTTTTTTGAGGAATAATTAACCCACAACGCCCGCGTAGGTCTCATTAAAAACGACAGGCAAGACTTGGCAGGCAGGTATCTGTTTAATGTGAATAAGCAGCCGTTCGTTCGCCTTCCCCCTTTTTTTTTTTTTTTTCACTCTTACGCATGGCAAGCGGTTAAGAAAAGTTCACAATGTAACAGAAAAAGCGAAAGGAAATTTCGTTGCGAACTTCATTCTGAATATCCTCAATTGCAGTTCTTCTTTCACATTTAAATCTACATTTTCTTTCTGTCAATGTTCCTTCTCTTTTGCAATAACAAATGGATCGGATCTCTTCGTTCCCTCTAATTCTCACTTGATATCCTTGCCGGACAACGAAATCGTAACGACTCTTCTTGCCCGCACTTGTCCACGATGCGTCTGAAAGAAGCGTGAGAACGGCAATGATCATCGAAAGTAACAGCGATTAATTCGCAATTATACGGACATCAATAAGGTGGAAACGCGTCAAAGGGAGAGAGAGAGAGAGAGAGAGAGCAAAGGAAGATATCAAAAACGCGTTAACAGTTGAGAAAAAAGCGTTCAGACGAAGAGTTTCGAAAAGGTGAGGAGGAGAGACGTAGCGGCGCCTGCGGGATGCAAGGATCTGTACGTAATTCGGTATTTATCACCCCAATCATTACATACTATAGAGCAGTTATATAAACGTATCGCGTCACGAAACATTTTGCTCTATTCAGCGGTGTCACTACCCCCTCGCCTTCAAAATTTTTGCCATTTTGCCAATATATATTACACATCGTGGGTGCATACCTACAGTTTCTTTGAATCCTGGCCAAAAGTGTCGCATTACATTTTCTTCGCGTTTTTAATGATCATTAAAAAAAAAAAAGGGAACAACGGGGTAGTTCAAGGTAAAGAGAGAAAATATTTCGTAAATAACCGGAGAATTCGGAAAAGAGTTGCAGGAAATCGTAGCTCGTGGCTTGGAGAAAGCTAATTTCACTTAGCGAAAATTTTAATAAGGTTTCACGCTTAACGAGGAATACGGGTTCAATCGTAGTTTGTACGAACGATTTGTTCTCAAGAGAGTGATAAAGGCCACCTTGGACTATTTAACAGAAGTAATCTCGTTAACATTTATTACGTTTACGATTCCTATCGATAATTGCGTAAGCTTCAAAATCTTTCTTTACCAACGGCAGCATCGCCGCCTTCGTCTCTACATTTCCCTTTTTCTCTTTCGAAATGAAATTCGTTCCGAAACTTTTGCAGCTTCTTTAATTACCGGTAATGCTACGCTCAAATAACTCTTCGACGTTCGTCATACCGACGGAGCCACCGTTTCAGCGAATCTGCAAAAAGAATATTTACGTAATCGCACTTTAAACTGAGAACAAATTACAGTTACCGATTGTACAGATCTTTTCCTCGTGTGATAAATCAATTTCATTTTTTTTCACCGACAGTCGATCGTTTCGACCGACTTCGAAGCATCCTGGCCGATGTCTGTTTATGCATCCTCTTCCGTTCTTTTTTTGTCCGCTATACCAGTCACCCTGAATACTCCTCTTGTACAGCTCGAATTTTTCGTCCAATCATGACTAACAGATTAGCTGAACTAGCGAATCAACGAGAGGGAGTATCCTAGAAAAGGAAAAACTAATTCTCGATATTTCGATCTTTTTTGTTTTGGGAAATATGAAGGAAATGTATGTACCGTGACATTTCTTCCATAAAACGTCGTATTCTTATAGGATCTTCCAACCACGTCGAACTAAAAAGCATTGTAAATACATCTTTCGATAACTTTTCAATTTCATTTCGACTAGTCGAAAAATACGCCTCGTACGTTTGTCCTGCTTCAGGCAAACTAACTCGCGTTGATGCACCTTTATACGCATCGGTACTAAAACTACTCTTCTCGTTCGATGGATCGATGACAGAGTACCAGATGAACTTTTCGATACGACGATTCGACTTTCGTAACTATAGCCGCTATTTTGCCACACCAGTAATTGCACCTTTTCTGCGACGAATTTGTTTATTGAAAACTTTTCGACGAACACGCATGAAAAGATGGAAAGAGACAGAGAGATTGGTGGTGGGGATGGAATCAGGGGGGAAATAAAATAAAAAAATAAAGCGAGATCAAATTTTTTCATCATCGTTCCTAGACGGAGCAAGTAGCCGAGAATAAGAGAATGGGGGGCGAGAGACGGAAGAAGAAAAGGGTAAGGGAATGTGCGTAGGCTGCTGGCGCCTAGACGAGCATCCCTCTCATATGGATCCGCTGTTCGTTTATGCATCCCGACTTTCATAGATTCTGGGAGAACAATCGTCCGAGTAATAGTAGAGCATAATTTTACGGCTCGAAACGATGGCGTCACGTTCGACCTCGCTTTTTTTTTTTATTATGGTTACATCGAAAATCGTACGGGTCGTTACGGTGCAAAATTACGGCGTCATTTTTTCCATCGATTCATACGATACCTCGTAATTTTTTAATTTCAGTGTCCGGTGATGTACTCTCAGGCGCCACACTGATTGAAATGAAATCACACTTCTCTAGTAAATATGGCGTTTAATTTATTCGTTGTAAACACTTTTTGTTCCAACTAGTTTCATAGAATGTTTGAATAATTGATTATACTTCTGTACTGTTTTTTTTAAATAGTTGGTGTTTTTCTTAATATAGTCAGATGTATTGCGTTTTATAAACATGTGTAATGATTTATATTGAACTTTTTAAGACGATTCGTAAATACCGATTGGTTCCTACTACTGCGTATCGAATATATCAGCTAATTTGTCATACTTTCGGTAAAAAAATATATTACATTCTACGTATTATAAACTTAAAATGCAGGTTTAACCTGACATTTTATAATTATGACTTTCAAACTAATGGAAGATTTTCTTTGCAACGAATCCGTACGTGATAATTGCGCAGCATGACGGTGCCATCTAGCGTCGGTTAAAGTGCATTATGTGGAACTCATGTTCCCTCCATATTAGAAACTACGAAAAGGGGAAAGAAATAGGAGGATAGGAAGGACGTAAATAGGGTCTCAACACATCGAAAAAGACGGAGAACGAATTTCAAGTCGGAGTGAGAGAATAAAGCAAAGTACTAAAAGTTAGAAGGGGAGCAATAGAGAGCAGGAAAACAAGTGCCTCTTCTGATTAACGGTGTAACAAATTATTGGATATTTCCCTATATTGTCTGCGACGAACGTTTCACGGTGATTACTCTGATATCTTGTTGAATGTTAGAAACAAAGCTGTACATGTAACACTGCGTGATTTTGTTGATATTTTGTGTACATTATTTGTCACAAGAAAATGTCGTTCGGTCTAGGTGCATCGATGAAGTGCCCATTTGTTTCTAAGAAGAAAAGATTTTGAGTGAATTTGATCGTAAGCCGATAGTAAATGAAAGAAAAAGTTATAAAGGTGTTTCGAGAATCATATAGAAACCTCGTGACATGGTATAGACGGAAAAAATAACGACGTGCATACCAAAATAAGAAGGCACTTCATCATTGCGCGGAAAGTTTTTTTTTCGACATATTTCGAGAAGTAATTGAAAATTTATTTTAGATGCCTAACATCAAACTACAAAGCTCCGACGGTGAAGTTTTCGAAGTAGATGTCGATATTGCAAAATGTTCAGTTACTATAAAAACTATGTTGGAAGATCTTGGGATGGATGAAGATGAGGAAGAAGTTGTTCCTCTCCCAAATGTTAATTCTGCTATTCTCAGGAAAGTAATACAATGGGCTACTTATCACAAGGATGATCCACCTCCACCTGAGGATGATGAAAACAAAGAGAAGCGTACCGATGATATAAGTTCTTGGGATGCAGATTTTTTGAAAGTAAACATTTGTCTACAAATACGTACCTTGTACTTCAGAAAAAGATAATATTTGTAAATATTTCAAAAATTTGTCCACAGGTCGATCAAGGAACTTTGTTTGAATTAATTTTGGCAGCTAATTACCTTGATATTAAAGGATTGTTAGATGTAACATGCAAAACTGTTGCTAACATGATAAAAGGCAAAACACCAGAAGAAATACGAAAGACATTCAACATTAAAAATGATTTCTCTGCATCAGAGGAAGAACAAGTTCGTAAAGAAAATGAATGGTGTGAAGAAAAGTAAATTAAAGTGTTTATGAACATTTGGTTTTTTGATTTCTTTTTAAATTCAGTTCCAGTGTTAAAAATTTAACAGTTAATATATTTCTTACATTATTTTGAAAAATCTCCAAAAATTGTCACATTATTTTTCATTTAATACATAAATAGTGGCTACATAACACAAATGGATTATTCCTTTAAGAATAAATCACGTTAATGTGTCTGTGGTTTCCTTATTTTGAAGTGTTTGTATAACATTGAACAATACTATTTAGCATGCATAAAAAATTACACAGACAAATTTATATTATTGTAATCACTGTTATCTCTATTTAATAATACATTAGATCTACATAACATTTATGTTTCATTTACATGGAATAGAAATTTTAGTTTTACTTCTGGCAATTTTACTTAATACTTCCTATACGGTTGTGTAATTTTAGAATGTTAATAATTTTGTGAAATAACATAAGTGTGTATTGGAAAATTACTTGTAAATTTATTAAAAAAATTAGGATAAACTACTGAAAAACTAAAACTTTGTGTATTATGTGATCAGTAGCTGATATTTTAAGCTCACCTTTAGAGAAGAAATAAGAAGTATTTGTAAAACTATATATATTTGCTGCACAAAAGTATCGGTGTAACAAAATTATTAGGATACAAATGCTTATGGCTATGAAATAAAATTATCGAGTTCCTTTTCAATATATCTATATTATATACGTTATAGTTTACTTTATAACAGAAAATAGTAACACAAATAAATCGACATACAAAATAATAAATGTATGTTCCCTAAATACTTATAAAAGGGTAAAAATATTGGCACAATCGAATAATAATATCGTTACGTAATTAAAAGTAAAGTTTTAATATTTTGCTGTTAGTCCGGTTCTCTTAAGAGCATTCTTTAAATTTAACAATGAGTTAATTAACTTTTTAAAAACTTCCAATTTGATATTCCATTCGTGCAATAGAACCTATTTTACTTCGTTTTTATTTCCTATATAATGCCCAATTCATTTTTCTTCTGCTTATAAAAACGTACTCGACTTTTTTTAATAAACGATATATCCTTGGTCCTAATAAAAACACAATTATTGTATTTTTTATTAATAATTTTTGCCATCCAATGAAAACGTCAAACGTGCTACGATCTGTAATAAAAAAAATTAGGATGCATCTTCGAATCAGATTTGAAACAGATGCAACATAACCTGCAATGCAACCGAGACCTTTAAAAATACGTAAAAATAATAAATCTACACACAATATTTAATTTTAATAAAAATATAAACGACAAAGAATTTTTTAATGCCCAATGATATTTAATACATAATGGGTAAGTGTACATTCGTTAGAATCTAAGTATTTAGAATTTCATCTTCAGTTGACAATAATTAGATTGTGGATAATTATTCTAGACGATGGAAAGAAAAATTCAATATTTGAATATAATGATTCAAAAACTGTTACAAAAAGATTACATGATATTTGTAATTGGAATCAACTTGATAATGTAGCAATAGAGTATCATGATTTGCAACACACAATGTACATAAATTACAATGAACTTCTTCTTGCAAAAAGTATGATTTCTGATTATTTAGGATGCATAAAAAACTTTGAATTTATTGGAATAAATTTTGATATATCTGAATATTGTGTAGTTTCTGTAATGCTTGGGTAAGATTTCAAATATTATAGAACATTTAAAATATTGACATAATAAATAGTGCAAAACTTTGTTATTTTCATATTTTTTTGCAGAATTTTGAGTAGTGGGCATAGTTTTGTATATGTACCTTTAGATGTATCAGGATTTGTGAATGTCAAAAAGTGTTTAGGTATGTGTTATTTGTTTTGTAAAGAATTAACTATTGAAGGAGACATTGTGCATCAATTTAGAATACATGGTGAATGTATTTATCTTGTACAATTGAAACATGTACAAAAACAAATTAACCAAAGTACAAAACAAAATTATTATGCTTATGCAATTTCTACTTCTGGTTCAACTGGAACACCAAAGATAGTTAGAGTGCTCCACTCCTGTATAGTTCCCAATATTCTAGATTTAAATAAGATATTAACAATTACCAATTGTGATAAAATTTCTCAGTTTACAAGCTTTACATTTGATCCTAGTATTATTGAAGTCTTTCTTGCCCTTTCAAATGGTGGGACATTGTTTATGGCTTCCAAATCATTGAAAAGCAGTCCAAGCAGGTGAATAGGAATTGTAAAAATAAATATCCTTTTTTATGGAAATATGCATTTATATAAGTGTGTTTTATCTTCAGACTTTTGAAAGAATCTTATTCTAGTCAAATCACTATACTACAAATAACTCCATCAGTATTTTTACATACTTGGACAGCTGAATGCTTAAAAACCACAATTTTAAGTAATAATACTTCACTGAGAACTATTCTTTTTGGTGGAGAACCTTTCCCCAAACTACAATTACTTCTTGAGGTCAAGCATCCCTCTAATGATACCAAATTCTATAATATCTATGGTATTACTGAAGTATCATGTTGGGCTAGTATTACTGAGACTGCAGTAACAAATGCACAATTTAATATAAATTACTTGGGACCACCATTATCACATACAATGTTTCAAATTAGAAATGAAAAGGGAGAAATAGTAACACATGGTACAGGTTTCCTTTACATAGGTAATACCATTATAGATTTTTATAATACAATAATTGTCTGAAAAGATTTATTACACATTGTATTTTTAAATAGGAAGTAACCAGAGGGTGTGTGTGATGGATAATGAAAACATTGAAGAATTAGAATTGCCAGTATTTCGTGATTCTGGAGACATAGTTGATGTAAATATATATAGTTTAAAAAAATAATAAAGTATAGTGAATGTAATTAAATGTATTTTTATTATAGGTTGATGAAGAAGGTAGAATATTTTACAAAGGAAGGAGGAATAGCATCATAAAAAAATTTGGGAATAAAGTAGACTTAACAAAACTAGAAAAATTTGCATTACAATTAAATTGTGTGAAAAGTTGTTACACAGTATGGGATGATAGTTACCATCAATTACACTTATGCTTAGTTACTAAGGAAGAATTTACAAATGATCATAATGTAAATGCTGATATAATAAAACATTTGCAAATGTTAGAACCTCTATATAGACCAGATAAAATTCATTTCTTAGAAAATGTTGAATTTACGTCTAGTGGAAAAATTTCCTTAGAATTTTTAAAACAGCATTATATAAAACAGTGCACAACAGATAGTATTTTCGATAATAGAGACTTCCATAAAATTAAAGGTATTTTTAAATCCGTTTGGGAAGACAATCTACAATGTGGAAATAATGGATTTGTAAAATTGGGAGGTACATCTATAGTAGCACTTCAAATATCAAATACCATGTCAAAACTAGTCAATTTGGATTTTCCTGAATTAATAGGCATGCTTTTAATGGATGGTACTGTTGAAGAATGCCTTAGTTATATAAAGAGTATTTTATTAAGTAATGATAGAAACAAAATAATTAATAATTCTAAATATTATGTTAACGATACTAAAGAAATACCTTTAATTACTACTATTACTGCACAAGATAATACATCATCAGAATATTCTAATACAGAAAAACAATATTATGACTCAATGAGCCTAACAAATGAGATATTTACTTGCCAGTGGTACAAATGCAAAGGGCAAACATATAGAAATGCGTCAGTAACAAATGAAGAATGTAAATTACAGTACGATTCAATTTCAAGAGTTGAAGTACAAAAAACTTACAATTTACAGAAATGTGTGGATGCGTCGCCAACCGTATTTCATTGCTCAAAGTATGTCTGTCATAAAAGATATTCGATGTATTTTGTGATTTAATTAACAATTATTTTATTTAGTGGTAAAACATATGCAACTGTCGGCTCTCATTCCGGTATTATTTGTACCTTTGGATTAGAAAAAGAATATACTTCTATGTTTAAAATAAAACTACCTGATAGAATTGAAGCTTCAGTTTTGGTTTTAGACAACTTTAGAGGTGTAGTAGGTAAGTTTTGTGATTTACAGTAAGTTTCTTTAATATCTGAATTCCTTTCTTTACAGGATGTTATGATGGTAATGTATATTGCCTTCAGTTGAAAACAGGAGAAATTATTTGGAAACATCAAACAGAGAATATTGTAAAATGTTCTGCAATACTTTGTAAAGAAAAGGAAATGATATTTGTTGGTTCTTATGACTGTTATATATACTGTCTATCTGTGAAGGTATATATTTATATTTATACTACAAGAAAGTAATAATACTAAAATGTATCATTGTAGGATGGATCTCAAATCTGGAAATTTAAAGGGAGCAGTGGAAGTATTAATGCTTCTGGTTGTTTGCACTTTCCAACAAGTACTGTGTTGTTTGGAACTTTAGATGGATCTTGTCTAGCGCTTCGTCAGTCGTCGGGAAAAGTTTTTTGGAAACATAAATTGTCAAATCCAATCTTTGTTGCTCCCTTATTACTGAACAGCGGATTTGTCCTATTTTGTTCTGTAACAGGACTATTATGTTGCTTTGACATTGAAGTTAATGTTAAGGTAATGAATATTTAGCATACTCCTCATTGCGCAAAAATAATCACTTTAATTTTGATTTATTTTTTGACTTTACAGCTGTGGACGTACAAAATCAACGGCAATGTATTTTCGTATATCGTGAAGCAAAACGATGCCTCTACAAAATATGAAAATATCATTTTAGCTACTCAGAATAAAAATGTTTATTGTCTACAATCTGAAGATACGAATTTTAAAACTGAACCTACATTGAAACACGTATTGAATCTTCATTCACCAATTTTGGCAACTCCCTGGTGTGAAAATAATTTTCTATTTATAGCATGTACAGATGGCACTCTAAATATTTACGACTCTATAAAAAATAGACTGATCAAAATTGAAAAACTTCCTGGAGAGGTTTTCTCATCACCCATTGTTGACAATGATGTCGCCATCATTGGATGCAGGGATAATAATGTTTATGTCTTAAAATTTGCTTAAAAATATTATTGGTAAGTAAAAATGTTAACTCTTGTTTGTGATGAAATAGATAGGAATACAAAGTAATGAAATTAATGTGGTATTATTTATTTTTTTTTTTTACGACTGTCACATTACAGTTACGTGAATAACGTTTTAGTTAAAGTAATAGAGAATCACGTACCACTTTTGAATAAATTTCGTACATAATACGAATTCGCGGGGTGCTTACAGTTTTAAGCGAAAATGCAAGCAAAATAAAAATTTCAAAAAGTAGCCAATCACTCATTAACAAAATATTCACGCATACATAAATGCACACGTATAGCAATTCCAAAAACAATGCATATCTGTGCATATTCGGGTTTTTTTAAAGTTATCAATGGCTTCTTTCATCGGCAATGACCATGTTATAAATATTTGAGAAAGAAATATTCCGGTTCACAAGCTCACATAAAATAACAAACATTTCAACGATTCCACTTTTTTCTATATTCTCATTCTTATACACTTGAGAATGAGAAAG